TGGTGTGATGTGTGTGGGGTGTGTGTGTGTGGTGTGGTATGTGTGTGTGGTGTGTATGTGTGGTGTGTGTGTGTATGTTTGTGTTCACATTTATTTATTTAGAAAATTAGTTAGCAAACAGTATTAAGTTTCATTATGGCATTCTCAAACATAATTATTTTTGTTAATCCCCTTCTCCCTCTTCCCACATCGCTTGTTTGCCCATGTACACTTATAATACTTTTGAAGCATTTTCACACTACCCAGGGGTGTGTCATCTCTCCTAGTTTCCTGATGTTCCATGAATGGAGCTTCAAAAAAATGTGCTACCATTACCCCCAATCCAGATCTGCCTTGACCTCATAAGAAGTCAGCTGTTTAGGGGTCTCAAGTCTCTACAAAAATTTAGAGCAGAAATTCAGGCAGATGGAAGGTATAGCAGTAATAAATCTCAATGTTTATCCTCATGGGGTGAGAGCTATGTTCTTTTTTTATCCCTTACTCTGCCATGTGGAAGAGATTTCCTATGATTACAAAGGAGCTTGTTACCTTTCCAATTGCCAGGGCCCACTTCTGACATCAGCAACACGATTCAATTTTTCAAACACTGAGTGCAGAGGGCCTCCTAGATGTAGGAGAGGAAGTAGTGAGGCAAGAAGCATCAGGTTTTCCATCCAGTTGAAGATCTAGAGACAGAAAATCTTTATTGAAACCACTTCATTGAAAGAAGTCACTGTTATGTCTCAGGTCATCCAAGCTAGAAAGACCAGTGGAGAAGGTCTAGTCTCTTGGAATAGATCATTTTGTATCAGTGACAAATGACTTAGAGTTTCTGCAAGAAGAGGCCTCCAATACAGCTCCTTTCACACTCTATTCCAGAGCCATTTCAAATATTCCGAACTGACTCGGCAACTCATTTACTACCACATTTATCTCTAACAACCAGAGAATCAGGCAACAAGCCCAGCAAGTGTTTCTGGGATGTTTTCTTCATTGAAGTAAATGAGACATAGGTACAAAGTGTTTCATCTAAGATAAAACAAATAACCAACAGCAGAGAAATTCTAAAATACGATTTTCTGCTCACTTCACTGGTCAAGAGCACCACAACTTAGGACAGAAGGTATCTGATTTGAGGTAGTTTGTTCACATGTAAGCTTATTGATGTGGCTTTATTTATTGAAATCCTTTCCTTGTCGTGGCCTCTTAGCAGTGGGCAGGGGAAGGGGGTGAGTTTGGGAATGGTGGAGGTTGTGAAAAACCACTAAGTGAATGCTCTCCCCAAGTGCCTCTTCATGTCTGCTTTCTAAAGGGCAAAAGAGGCTGGATCACAAGATCAGAGGGCCGATGGCCAAAGAAAGGCGTGTTAAAGAGCCGTCTCTTTCAAGTAAGAGACTTTCTTATTTTTTTCCTCACCATCTGAGATCCTAGATCCAGCCACCCTCCGTTCAGCTTGCACATCACCCGTGCTTCCCACCCGCCCCCGTGACACCTGCCACACTTTGTGCTGTATTATGCCATCTCTTCTGCCTCTCTAACGCAGATAAAATGGTATGCTTATTGAGAACATGTTTATAACCATTTCCTTGTTTGACAAGCACCCACGACTGTACCTTCTGTACTTGTTCACTAATTGAATACTTGTGGAATAAATGAAATATCAACGACAATACCACAGTTCACAGAACTCTCTTGGTCTCAAGGACACAGCTGTGAGCATGTAGTAGTGCCTTGATTGAAAAATACATAAAATCAGGGCTGGAGAGATGGCTTACCGGTTAAGAACACTGACTGCTCTTGCAGAAGACCAGGGTTCGAATCCCAGCACCCACATGGCAGCTAATAACTGTCCGTAACTCCAGTTCCAGGGGATCCGACAGCCTCTTCTGCCCTCTGCAGGCATTGCATGACATGGGTGCACTTACCTACATGCAGGCATAACAATCATACACATAAAATAAAAATAATAAATAAAATATAAAAAGAAAAATGCATAAAATCTTGAAAAAAATGTGTCTTAGTTCATCCCATTCTCAAGATTTTCCAGATAGGCTTCCATTTCACAACTTACAGAAAGATGGCTGATCTGAAAGGACCACAAGAGGATGAACTTGTATTTCAAGTATGGAAAAAGAATTAGCACCACACTTCCCAACCTCAGCAATATAAGATGCCAAATTTCAACAAAACTGCAATTTATTTTTTCAAGTACCTTAAACTTGATATGGATTTTAATTTTTAAACCTAATTGTATGATTATTTTATTGGGAAGTTTCCAATGCAAACTTTGGACAATTTTGTCAGTATATAATGGTTGGCTGACATCTTGAATAAGGGATTCTTTTTCCAATATCCATGTATTTCACTAATTGCTATTTTTAATGCATACATTGTCATGTAGGTATATAACATGATGCTATAGAATAAACACACATTTAAATTATGGTGAGGTATGCTATGTTAGTGAAGCTAATACATCCATCATCTCACCTGATTACCATTGCTTGCTTTTTTGGAAAAAGCAGCTAAAATCAACTTATTTAATTGAATCCTAAATACACCACAATTTTAGTGCGCACACTCTTTATGCTGTGCACTAGAACTGACAAGCCATCTTAATGAAGCTGTGAGACCTTACCACAAGTGTAGACAAGAGTACAAAATGACTGTTACTCGTTCTCTCAGTGACGGTTTATTGGAACTCAACCATAGTAAATAAGGAAATTCTAAACCAGGAACTGAGAAGTACTGTGTTCAAACATGGATAGGGCACTTCCAGAAGACCAATATCCTCTTCCCTCAATGGGCTAATGTAAGTAAACATACTTCTCAGACATACTACAGTAATATATACTAAAATGATTAACTCTTAATAAGACATTGATAAACCCAAAACGATATTATTTTAATAGAAGTAGGATATGGATAAAGCTAGTTTTCTCTGTCATGTGTAAACATCACTTCATTTCACTCAGCTGATATTTGAATGGGTTTCATTTAGTGTATTTTATATTGCTAGTACCCTAGAAATAAGAGCACAAGTATACAAATTATTGAGTCACTTAACCTTGCATTAAAAAGTTACTGCTATTGATCAGATTATTTTTTTCATTCTAATTGAGAGACTATATTCATGACATTGGAACTGCTATTCTTTGGAAAGATAGCAATTCTTAATCAAACATAAGAAGTAGTCTCACCAGACTGAATGCAGCCCCAATATCCTTTAAAGCACAGCAGCTTAGGGACCCATAATAAATTACTTTGGTAATTAGCAAAGTTTAGCAAAAATTTAGCAAAATTCAAGTTCTACAGATTTTGAGACAGCAAGTTAATATCCAGACATTAGAATTTTGTTTTCAAGATACAGTAAATGGGCATTTTATCCATATGAAAAATTAACAAGCCTTAAAAGTAATACTTGAAACTCCCCAGGAAGGATCATCCATGCTGTTATGGTTTGCAAAATAACTATTACAGTTTATTAATATGGTAAATATTAAGAAATAGTTGCTATGAACAGCCTCAAGTTCTCTCAAAAAGAGCAATTTAAAGTTTGAAAAAAAACTCTTATTTACAGTGGTTTGATTTTAAGAATTTATTCTTGAATATAATAATATAATGGATTTCTTATGCTCCCATTTCTAAAATAAAAAGTCTCAGTATAACTTGACATATTTTATACAATCATCTGTTTCAAGAGCTTTACGTCAAGTTTCTGCTCCAACTAACAGTCGTTTAGGCAAGATGTGCTAATATTAGTGACACTCTTCCTCTTTGTAGATTAATTGTGGTGAGTTCCGTGACCCTAAAGTCTTCTGCACTCGGGAATCTGACCCACTCTGTGGCTCTGATGGACAGACATATGGGAATAAATGTGCCTTCTGTAAGGCAATGGCGTGAGTATGCCCTCACTACACTTGTGTCTTGTAAGCAACAATTTCCAGAATAAAGCATATTTTCCTTCAGCTGTCATAGAATGCTCCACTCATGCTTCATATAGATAAGAAATAACATTCAGGCAAATAGATTGTAAAAATTGGCTTAAAAGCAACAAAAATTACAAAACAATTTATTCCAAAACAAAGCTTTAGCTGTTTTGCTATACCATTAATTTTGACTCATTTGGGGATTTTTTATTATGTATTTTGTACATAAAAGTTTATCTTTATTAATTTTGATGACTTTTCTTATTTAAATTGTTCTTAGTTTGCTGGGCATGGTGGCACATACTTTTAATTCCAACACTTGGGAGGCAAAGACAGGCAGATCTCTGTGAGTTCAAGGCCAGCCTGGTTTACATAGTAAGTTCCAGGCCAGCTGGAGCTACAGGGAGTCCCTGTTTCAAAAAGACCAAAACAAACAAACAAAAAACAAAACCAAAGGAAAAAAAAAACCCTAATGATTTACATCAATATGTAACCAACACAATAACATGTAACATATCTATGTAATTAATACCAAATTACATAGAGATTTAGTGGGATAGGCTGAGATTAGAATGAATAGACATATTACTGATAGAACATGAATGTGCATTCTGCTGTAAAATGTCAAACATTTTAACATTTGGTTTATTTTCTTACATCTTCTGCCAAGACAGATCTGTAACATATCATCTATTTGCATTATTTCTGAAAGGTCTAACTATTATTATAGCTCAGATTAGTCTAAGATTCATCTCTTTCAAATACCAGACAAAGACATTTGATTAACTTATAATGAATACTAATAGTATTATATCTACAAAGCTCAATGATCAGATGTACCATATCAAATTTTAAATTCCTAGGCTCTGTGAAAATACAGATATTGCAATGAATATACATTTCTTTTTTCCTAGGAAGAGTGCAGGGAAGATTAACCTGAAGCATCGTGGAAAATGTTGAATTATAGCCAGCATTTTGTGTTAGTTTGCTGATTCTCTCATCCTTAGTTTTTTCATCTCTGCCTTTACATTTCTCTGGCAAATATCTTAAATTTATACAAAATGCGACTTTTACTCTGTGTGGGCCTTGGGAGCTCAATGTCTATTTCTTGTCAATAAAGTAAATTCTGCATAATTGATTGTTTTACTTTGATATAAATAAAACAAATTCATATACCAGAGAATAATTGACTTGACATTAACTTATGTGAAAATCCCATTTTCCTGATCAAAAGCAAGCATTTATCACCATGGAATTTTGAAAAATGTCATCCCTGTTTCAGTTTTGGTCAACATGAGCACATTCTAGTTTTATTGTCATTCTAAAACATCTATTAAACAAGTATTATATTACAGAATATTGAATCTTCTTAGTATCAGGAAAAGTATTTCACATAAAGGAAAATGTGTTACCCAAATGCTCTTGGGTATGAGTCCATTGCTTGGAGTCTAGTCAACCTCCCAGGTATCACACCCTTAAAGAAATTGACTCTCCCTCTCCCAGCATCTATCAATTGCCAATTGATCATCAGGTAGGATTGGAGTTTCTTGCCTACTTTCCCCCATCAATGCTGTAATTTTGTCTGACTTGGGCTTACACAGGAATTGTGCACAATGTTAAAACCAATTTTGGGGCCTGGGGAGATGGCTCAGTGGTTAAGAACACTGGTTATTCTTGCAGAAGAACCGGGTTGGAATCCCAGCACTCACATGGCAGCTAACAACTGTCCGTAACTCCAGTTCCAAGGAATTCAACAGCCTCTTCTGTCTTCCATGGGCATTGCATGTCATGGGTGCATTTACTTAGATGCAGGCAATACATGCATACACATAAAATAAAAATAATAAAATATTTTTTTAAAAAAACAATATTGGTTCATATGTGCAAGTGCCCTGCTGTAGCAAACACCATTTCCATCACCTATGGCCCTTAAAGTGTTCCTATCCTCTCCTACAATGATACCTGAGTCTTGGGAAAAGAGGTTGTGATATAACTGGTTCTTGGCCCTAATAATAGTGCTAGGTGTGGGCTGTATCTTGTGACATGAATGTTAAATCAAATCAGAAGGTAGTTGGTTTCTCCCATGGTATTTGTGCCACTATTACACCAGTGGACATACCTTTCCAGTTCAGTCCCATTGAGGGAAAAGCACTCCAGCCCCTTATTCTCTGCACTTTGACAAATTGTGGATTTCTGTGTTTATCATCACTTGATGCAAGAAACTTCTCTGGTCAGAATTGAGAGATGCACTAATCTCTGGGTATAATAAGTAATTGGGAGTTGATTTAATATAATGTCTGTTTAGCAGAATAGTAATTCTCCTTTATAGCCTGTGACCTCTCTAGGCACAGGTTCTTGGCCCTAATAATAGTGCTAGGTGTGGGCTGTATCTTGTGAAGTTAATGTAAAATCAAATCAGAAGGTAGTTGGTTTCTCCCATAGTATTTGTGCCACTATTACACCAGTTGACATATCTTTCCAGTTCAGTCATTGGTAGACCTTTAAAGAAAGAAAAATAATGAGAGAAGGCATGAAGTTGAGAGAAGTGGGGTAGCAGGGTAGGGATGGAAATGGGGGAGGGCATCTGAATATGACCAAAATACATTGCATGAATATATTAAGGACTCAATAAAAAGAGTCTTTGAAAAAGCAAAACACATCTCCTCTACGGAACATAGTTTTTTCCTATCTTTGAAATAGTAGATTTTGACTATAAACTATGTAAAAACATATAGTATTTGGCTTCCCAGCAATATTATAGAGAAAATAAATTTTAAAAATGAATAGTGAATATTCAACAAATGTTGTTTATTCAATAACAAATGGGTAAAAAACCCTCTAAAAGAATGAGAGCTTCCTTGTAGAATGAGAAAACTGTATCAAACATTAGGAATCTATGGGCTAGAGAGATGGCTCAGGATTAAAAGCACCTACTGCTCTTCCAGAGGACCTATGTTCAATTTCCAGCACCCACATGGAAAGTAACCATCCTCAATTCCAGTTCTGGGATTCTGACATCCTCTTCTGGACTCTGCAGTTATCAGGCACAGACACACATTGTGTACTCACATACACCCAGGCAAAAAATTTTGAGAAGATTGGTATCCAGTTACAGTATTATGTTCAGTGTTTAGAGTAGTTCCTACTTGGAAGACCATGAGATGAAAGATTTGGTCAAGCAAATATATTGAAGAGCAGAGAGATAAATTAGTCATTATCTTCATCAACTTGTTCTGACCACTGGTGTCTGAAGAGGATTTTGTGCAGGAGGCAAATTATAAATGATGAGAGCAGAGAAGAATGAGGCCTAATTGTGAGAGGCACAGCAGTTATTGTTCAGGCTTTGGTTTTGACCTTGGTATATGAGATGTACATTTTGTACCACCTCCCTTTCATGTACAAAGACAGACTCAGCCAGTACAAACAGATATGTCAACATGTTTTGCTGAAAAGTCCTTCATAATTGTGGTATCCAGGAAATAAAACAAAACAATATATTCTTTCAAGTTTGATTTGTACTCCTTGTTCTAAAGTAAAAAAAGATAATTTATTCATTTGATCTCAGTGCCCTTATCTCTCATCCTACCTACCTGTAGATCAGAAGGAACATTGTTAAGATCAGGTCAGGTCAAAGCTGCAATCATTAACTGTCCCTGGAGCTTTTCTATACTGCTCCCACTGCTGCCAAGTCATGTCTTTCTTAGTTATTATCTTCTTCTTACTATTCAAAAATGTAACTTATGAAAAATATCTTTGTATATCACTGATTAGGCTCTAGTTGACAGATGCTGCAGGGGATGATAATGAAATATTTCATGAAGGAAAATATGCATACATAAAAACATACAACATGAGGACAAAGAGAGAAAATAATAACTTAAGTTGGAAATAACTCAGTAATAATGACAACTAATCGATTTACTGATAATAACACATTGTCCCGCTACCGTGAAGAAAGAATAGTCAACCACCTCAAACTCCTGTAGCCATGCCTTCTTCATCATGATGGCCGCATCCCCTTCAACTCATTTGTTACTCTCTTGCCGTGCGATACTGAAAATGCAGACTTCAAGAGAGTCTGATCAATGGAAAGATAATCCTTAAAATCCAGAATAGCTATCCAAATGATCAAAAGTACAAATCACAACATGGGAATATAAGAAGCATGAAAAGGCAAGGCAACAAGACCCCTCCTAAAGGATCCTAAGTCCTCAACTATTGAAAACAAGAAGCTGAAATAGGTAAGTATGCCAGATGACAATTTCAAAAGATTTTTGGCAAAATTATTAATGACTTAAAATAGGATGCAGATAAAGGACATCTGGGTATACAAACTTTACTCAATAGACCTTAACATATATGACAGAATGCATGAAATCTGGTGAGGGGTCTACAGGGTGTGCAAAGGGGGAGGGTGTATAAAGATGATTAAGTTGTTCTGTATGAAGTGCACAAATATTCAATAGATAATGTGCATTGAGGGGGCAGGTGGGGCCCTGGGGAAGGAGGATGGAATCTAGACAGAGAGAGAGAGGAGAGAGATAAATAAAGTTTATGTAGCATGAAAGGTCAGAGGGAAATGTGTTAATTCCAAAACTCCCTAAAAGATACACAAACAACATCTGAACATGAGGGCATGTGAATACCAGAATGCTACATAACAAGCAACACAGTGCCAGGCAGGAGAAATCTTCCTCAAGTTGTTGGTCAGAGTAGTCTAAGAGACTCCCAAAATAACATAAACTTTTGCCACAGCCCTCAATTACCTCCCAGCACTTGAAGGTAAGACCCTATTGCTGAAGACAGGACATACTTTAGACATAGGACTTGGAACATTGGAGCTGGAACTGACCTGGAAGCCTTCTCTCTGAAGACTAGCTCTCATAGTTCTAGAAGATACTATGCAAGTTATTAAGGGAGAAAATCAATCAATGGTCCAACCCAGCTCTAAAACCTAATAACCACAATGACTGGCACAGTAAACTATCTCTATTGATGCAAAAGTGGGACTTTTATCTAGGGAATAATCAACAGCTAACTAATTGGACTTAAAGCTCTCTCAATGGGAGATAACTCATGGGTAACATTGTAAACATATTCAAATACACATGGTTGGAGAGGTCCTAGAGAAAACTCAATCTCTGTCATATCTCTAGACAAATGAAATTTCTTTCTGTACATTAATTATTAACTCTTACATTTCCAGACAAGTATACCATACACCACTCATCAAAGAACCTTCTTTTTGCAACAAATGGAGGCTATTACAGAGTCCCAGAACTGTTCACACACAGAGAATATATGTCTGAGAGATGCCCAGCCCTAAGTGACATATCTACAGTGGAACCTGTATACCTAAGGCTCATGGAACATAGTAAAACAGGGTGTAGAGAGAACACAACTATATCCCTTAACTCTCACCAGTGAATCTTATTCATCCAACAAAGTGTGATGCACATAAAAGGCCACAACTGGCTAAGTTCTACAGAATGAGAGACTGCAGAGTGCATGTCCCTTAATGGGAATCCTATATTAAACATCATCCACCCATAGCTCAAGAACCATTGCAAAAGAGGGGGCATAAAGATTGTAATAGCCAGGGTTGATGCATGAACATAAGGAAATAGAGGCTTTCAGGCCTCCAGCAAAGAAAAGCCCAGACGAAATGGATTAATTCTCAAATTCAACTAAACTGTTGAAGAACTAACATCTATACTCTTCAAAGTGATCCTTAAAATAGAAAGGGAAGAAATATTATCAAGTTCATTCTATGAAGCCAGCTTTACCTTGATACCTAAACCAGACAAGGATAGAAGAAAGCTATAAACCAATTTCTCAAAAAACAGAAATGCAAAATATTTCAACAAATTTTTAACAAATTAACCTCAATAATATGTTAAGAAGATTATGACCAAATTGTTTTTATACCTGTGATGCAAGTTTGGCTTATGAGAACATAGATTTAAGAAAGTAATGATCAGATCATCTCAATTGAAGCAGAAAAAAAAATTCTCACAAATTTGACATTCCTTCGTGATAAAAGCCATGAAGAAACTAAG